AACATCAGAACCTATTCCTCTTATTAACTGTAACTTGTTCCCATTGACCAACCTCTCCCCATCCCTTCCTCTGCCCTTCTCTCCCCAGCCTCTCCTAACCACTATTCTATTCCACTCTCTATTTCCATGAGATCAACTTTTTTAGATTCCACATATGAGTGAGATCATATGATATTTGTCCTTCGGTGCTTGGCTTATTTCACTTAGTTTAATGTCCTCTAGGTTCACCTGCGTTGTTGGAAATTCTTTTTTATGGTTGAATAGTATTCCATTGTGTATATATAACCATATTTTCTTTATCCATTCATCCATTGATGAACACTTAGGTTGATTCAATATCTTGGCTATTGTGAACAGGGCTGCCATAAACATGGCAGTGCAGTTATCTCATTGACATACTGATTTCACTTCCTTTGAATATATACCCAGTAGTAGGATTGCTGAATCATATAGTACTTCTATTTTTAATTTTTTGAGGAACCTCCATACTGTTTTCCATAATGTCTGCAATAATGTACATTCTCACCAACAGCATATAAGAGTTACCCTGGCCAGGTGTCGTGGCACACGCCTGTAATCCTAGCACTCTGAGAGGCCAAAGTGGGAGGATCACTTAAGGTCAGGAGTTCGAAACCAGCCTGAGAAAGAGCGAGACCCTGTCTCTACTAAAATTAGAAAGAAATTAATTGCCCAACTAAAAATTATATATAGAAAAAATTAGCGGGCATGGTGGTGCATTGCCTGTAGTCGAAGCTACTAGGGAGACTGAGGCAGAAGGATTGCTTAGAGCCAGGAGTTTGAGGTTGCTGTGAGCTAGGCTGACGCCATGGCACTCTAGTCTGGGCAACAGAGTGAGACTCTGTCTCAAAAAAAAAAAAAAAAAAAAAGAGTTACACTTTCTCTGCAACTTCATCAGCAGTTTTTTTTTGGTTTTTTTTGGAGACAGGGTCTTGCTCTGTCTCCCTGGCTAGAGTGCAGTGGCATCATCACAATTCACTGCAACCTCAAACTCCTGGGCTAAAGCGATCCTCTTGCCTCAGCCTCCTGAGTAGCTGGGACTACAGGCACATACCACCAAGCCCAGCTAATTTTTCTATTATCAGTAGAGACAGAGTCTCATTCTTATTCAGGCTGGTCTTGAACTCCCGGCCTCAAGCAAGCTTCCCACCTCAGCCTCTCAAAGTGCTAGGATTACAGGAATAAGCCACTGTGCCAGGCATTTTTCTGTCTTTTTGATAACAGCTATTCTAACTGGGGTGAGGTTTTGATTTGCATTTCCCTAATGATTAATGATGATGAGCATCTTTTCATATACCTGTTGGCCACTTGTCTGTCTTTTTTTTTGTCACTTAACCAAGATTTAGGTACCACTTGTCTGTCTTAATTTGAGAAATGTCTATTCAAATGCTTTGTCTATTTTTAATTGAATTATTTGGTTTGTTTTTGTTTTTTGCTTTTGCTTTTTGGGGATAATACCTTCACCATCTGAAGGTTAAGAAAGACTTAATAAGCAGGATTTAGAAAATACCAACCATAAAGGAAACAATAGACAAATTCAAGTTCATTAAAACTCAGAATACTTATTTATCAAAAGATGCCAATAAAAGAGTCAAAAGCAAAGCCACATTTGATGTATATGAGAAAACATTGCCAGACGCGAAGCTGATAAAGCTCTTATCCAGAATCTACAAAGAACTTTATTCATTGCATCAGTAAGAAAAATATTATATAAGTAATCCAATAGAAAAACACTTAAGAAACTTGAAGAGATCTTTTACCAAAGTGGTTGTCCAAATGGCCAGTGAACATATGAAAAGGTGCTCAAGCTCTTTTTTTTTTTTTTTTTTTGAGACAGAGTCTCATTTTGTTGTCCAGGCTAGGAGTGAGTGCCATGGCGTCAGCTAGCTCACAGCAACCTCAAACTCCTGGGTCGAGCGATCCTTCTGCCTCAGCCTCCCGAGTAGCTGGGACTACAGGCATGCGCCACCATGCCCGGCTAATTTTTTATATATATATCAGTTGGCCAATTAATTTCTTTCTATTTATAGTAGAGATGGGGTCTCGCTCTTGCTCAGGCTGGTTGAACTCCTGACTTGGAGCAATCGCCCGGCTCGGCTCCCAGAGAGCTAGGATTACAGGCGTGAGCCACAGCGCCCGGCCTCAAGCTCTTTAATCAGCAGGGAAATGGCAATTAAAATCACAGTGAGGTGCCACAACACAACTGCCAGACTGGCTAGCATGAACAGACTGAGAATGTTGAACGTTGTCGGAGAGAATAAAGGGGCCATGGGAAATTTCATACACTGTTAGTGGGAATGAAAACTTGATGAAAATTATTTTCAGAGATGAGTCGCCATTATCTGTTAAAATTGAAGGTATGCATATCCTATGACCAGCAATTCCACACCTGGCTATAATTGCAACAAAAAATGTTTATATGTGTTTAACCAGTACACACATACAGGACTTTCCTTAACAGCACTGTTTGCAACAACCCCAAACAGGAAACAACTCAGAAGTCCATCACAGTAGCATGGACAAATAGTGATAGTAGAAATGAACACTACACAGCAAAGCAAAGAAATGAACTACAGCTACAATGACAGGGATAAATCTCAAAAACTTAACATTGAGTGAAGAAGCTAGATATTAAAGAATACATAGGCCGGGCGCTGTGGCTCACGCCTGTAATCCTAGCACTCTGGGAGGCCGAGGCGGGCGGATTGCTCGAGGTCAGGAGTTCGAAACCAGCCTGAGCAAGAGCGAGACCCCGTCTCTACTATAAATAGAAATTAATTGGCCAACTAATACATATATAGAAAAAATTAGCCGGGCATGGTGGCACATGCCTGTAGTCCCATCTACTTGGGAGGCTGAGGCAGGAGGATTGCTTGAGCCCAGGAGTTTGAGGTTGCTGTGAGCTAGGCTGATGCCACGGCACTCACTCTAGCCTGGGCAACAAAGTGAGACTCTGTCTCAAAAAAAAAAAAAAAAGAATACATATCATAAGATTCTGTTTATATCCAAGTCCCAAAAAACAGGCAAGACTAACCCAAAGTGTTTAGGTATGCATACTGAGGTGGTAAAACTATAAATAAAAATGAAGAATCGATGATCCTAAGTGTTAAGGTAGTGATTCCCTCTTGGGGGGGCAGGAGGGATTGGTGTTTGGGAGAGGCTGAAGGAATATTTCTAGAGGATAGCCAATGTTTTCCTTTTTTGACTAGGACGATCAGGGTTTTTGCTTTATAATAAATAATTGAGCTGAACTTTTCAGTTTTGTAAACTTTCTTGAATATGTGTTATATTTTCTTTCTTAAAAAAAGAGAGGTATATTTCCATGCCAGAACATCACAAAGTTTCCAAAACACACTGCTAAGTAAAAAGTCATGTAATATGTAACATATAATTCCATTTATGTAAAAAAAATCCATATAAAGAAAATGATACATTTCAAAGTGTCTACACATACACATTTAAAAGCATCAAAAAGGCCGGGGCGCGGTGGCTCACGCCTGTAATCCTAGCACTCTGGGAGGCCGAGGTGGGAGGATTGTTCGAGGTCAGGAGTTTGAAACCAGCCTGAGCAAGAGTGAGACCCCATCTCTACTATAAATAGAAAGAAATTAATTGGTCAACTAAAAATATATATAGAAAAAATTAGCCGGGCATGGTGGTGCATGCCTGTAGTCCCAGCTGCTCGGGAGGCTGAGGCAGGAGGATTGCTTGAGCCCAGGAGTTTGAGGTTGCTGTGAGCTAGGCTGATGCCACAGCACTTACTCCAGCCTGGACAACAAAGCGAGACTCTGTCTCAAAAAAAAAAATAAATAAAATAAAAATAAAAGCATCAAAAAGATCTTTCTGGCTGCTCTTTCTCACACTAACACTCTCCCTTTTGCCCCGTCCTATCCTCCCTCATCCAGATAACCCCAACTCATTACTGGTATCTCATCTCAGATTTAACTTACTCCAAAAGCTGATCTTGATCACCTTTGCCACCTCCCACCCTTGCCCCTCCCATGCTTTAATGCCTGGCATGTAGTTGGAACTCTCCAAAGACCAGCTGAGGTTTTAATATAGCACCTTAATCACGAACATCCTTACATGCCCACTGCAATGGCCCCAACAGCCCCTTTCCCAAGCAGTCTTGATTAAAATGCTTCCACAACTGTTGAAATCTCTCGGAAATGCTGTTATTTTGGTATTCAGATCTCATCTTCCAGACTTTTTCCTCTCACTTTGTTGGGCAAGGAGTTTCCAATTCTAGTTTGGGAAACCTGTGGCCCTTGCCCTGTCTCACCTATTAAAGAGCCTACTGCGCAGACTCCAGCCAGACGGCCAGTCACCCTCGTGTGTTGTCAACGTTGCTGCCAGCACCCGCTGCTGTGGTAAAGCAGCACACAATCGGGCTGGGTAGGATCTTGTCACTTGAGAAGGGAGGATGCTATTTGCAAGGTGGGGCTGTTTTGCCTACACTTGGTTTAATTCTGAGGTTTTAGTTTAACTAGGTGCAAAGCATGTACCATATAATCTTAAAAGATACCATGATTTTAAATGTTTGCTGCATTTAGGTTTTGAAAGAGGGCACAGCCAATCTTAGAAATTAGATGTTACTATAGGCATACATGCATATTTTATATTCTTACAAATTAGATATTATTACATAGGATATGTAAATATTAGAAATAGCATATATGTTAATATATACTTTATGATCATGTGTGTTTCTTATCAATTGGATCTATATAGACTATGTATATTTTTTCTACTATATATTTCCTTGTCACAAAGTATTCTTTAAAAACATGATTAATATTCCAGAGTCATTCTATGAACCTCACAAAGTCTATTATTTGCTGAAGTCTTCCCGAAGGGCCTCACAGACAGCCCTGGTCAGTTTAGCAACTGGGGCCCTTCCTGACCCAACCTCTGCTTCCTGCTTCGGTCCCCGCTTCCCCCAGCTTCAGCCACCCCCTTCTCGCCCTTTCAAGGTTTTGTACCTGCAATTCACTTTGTTGCCGATGATCCTCTGTCTCTCTCTCTCTGGGAGGTGTCAGCCCAGGTAGCACCCGCTGATTGTCTCTGGTCACCAGTCTGGCAGGGACTGGATCTGCGCAGTCTTTCTCCGCCCCCTGCCCTATCTACTCTCCTCCAGGCTCTCGGGACGATCAAAGGAGCGACAACCTGTTTGAAGGCCAGCTAAGAAACTCTTTGATATAGACGGGAGAGGTGTAGGGCTCGCCAACAACATCCCAACCCCGGTGGTGGTCCCGGTTCTAGTCACCTGCTGGGGGAAGCTGGTGTCTCCAGAGCTGGCCCATCCGCGGCCTCAGTGGGAGGAGAGTGATGGGGGAGGGGAGGGAGGCCGTTGGGGGGCGAAATGTGTCACCAGGCTTCCGCTCCACCTGGTGGCGCTTAGGAGCCCGCTACTCCGCACCTGGGGTCTGTCTCTGTCTTCCCAGACTCAGGGCATCCCGGATCCCTAATTCCTGGCAAGAAAGGGAGGTGGGAGGCTCGGCTCGGGGTTCTGGGTCCAGAGCGGGGAGTAGTGGTTGTGGGAACAGACTCCCGGTTCCCCGGGACGTCAGGACCTGGGGGCTAGGACCCGCGGCTGCGCCCCTCTTTACCCGCCACCGACGACGCGCGAGTCTCAAGGCTGGTGGCCTCCGCCGGCGCTTGGGGGGAGGGGCCGGCCAGGGCGCGCGACCGGGGTCTGAGGGTCCGCAGAGCCACGGCCACCACGGCCACCGGAGCTAGAGGAGAGTTTAAGCTTTCGCCGCAGCCAGAAGGCAATTTAAGCAATTCACCCTGGAGATGCTCACTTCTGAGGTGCTTGCCTACAGCACCCTGGCCCTGTAAACGCACCCGTCTGGGCTCCCGACCCCAGCTGTTCGCAGGCCACAGCCAGTCCTGGCCCCAGCCCTCTGAAGGGGGCCACCTCTTCACAGTTCCCGGTTTCTGAAGCCTGGCGATCTGCGCGCTTAGGGATGAAGCACAGTTCAGTTCTTCCCACCCCAACTCCCTGCAGCATCTTCTCTCCAAGCTTAGTCTTCGGGGAGGATCCCTGAGATCACCAGTTGCCAGGCAGATTCGGCCCTGCGGTGGGCTGAGCAAGGGTGCAAGGTTACCAGTTACCGGTTGCCAAGAAGATTTAGTCTAGGTAGTCGACTTAGTGACTAATACTGGTTACCGGTTGCCAAGAAGATTTAGTCTAGCTAGTCGACTTAGTGACTAATACACTTAGTGGATTAAGATAAGGGATTGAGGGAGGAGCCAAGATACGAACCCTTGCGGAGTTCGTGTCGTTAACCATTATGCTATAAAGATTCAATATACTGTAGGCCGGGCACGGTGGCTCACGTCTGTAACATTAGCCTGAGAGGCCAACGTGGGCGGATTACTCAGATCAAGAGTTCGAGACCAGCCTGACCAAGAGTGAGACCAAGAAATTAGTTGGCCAACTAAAAATATAGAAAAAAATTAGCTGGGCATGGTGGTGCATGCCTGTAGTCCCAGCTACTCAGAAGGCTAAGGCAGGAGGATCCCAACATTATTTATTCAGTGATTTGGTTGGAACAATTGGCAAGACACCTGGGAAAAATTAATTATGTCCTTACATAAAAATAGATTTCAGATGGGTCAAGGATCACAATGTAAAAAAATGGAAACATAATTCACTAGAAATAAATATGAGCGAACATTTCTATAATCTTGGCACAGGGAAGGGCTTTCTAAAAATAACAAAAACTAAGAATCCATAAAGGAAACGTTTTGTAAATTTGACTATATAAAAACAAAATTTATATATTATTAGGTCCACGCAATTTGTAATTTTTATATCTTCCTTAAAACTGTAACCCTTTAACCTCTTTATCCCAAATAATGCTTTATTGCCTTAATGTATATTTTGTCTTTTGTTTAGTATTTGCCTAGTATTTGTGCCTCCTTTTTACTTTAAATCTGCATCCTTATGTTATAGATGTTTCTTATATAAATAGCAGATAGCTGGGTTTTTAAAAAATTCAGTCTTCAAGCCTTGTCATTTAACTAGTATGTTGAATCCATTTGTAAATAATTATAATTACTGGTATATGTGGATTTATTTCTAATATCTTCTACTTGTCCCACTTTTTTTTTTTTGAGACAGAGTCTTGCTTTGTTGCCCAGGCTAGAGTGAGTGCCATGGCGTCAGCCTAGCTCACAGCAACCTCAAACTCCTGGGCTCAAGCGATCCTGCTGCCTCAGCCTCCAGGTAGCTGGGATACAGCATGTGCCACCATGCCCGGCTAATTTTTCTATAGTATTAGTTGGCCAATTAATTTCTTTCTATTTATAGTAGAGACGGGATCTCGCTCTAGCTCAGGCTGGTTTCGAACTCCTGTACTTGTCCCACTTTTTATTTATTTTTTTGAGACAGAGTCTCACTTTGTCCCACCCAGGTAGAGGAGTGCCGTGCATCAGCTGTACCCACCAGCAACCTCAACTCCTGGGCTCAACGATCCTCCTGCCTCAGCTCCCGAGTAGCTGGGACTACAGGCATGTGCACCATGCCGGCTAATTTTTTTCTATATATATTAGTTGGCCAATTAATTTTTCTATTATAGTAGAGACGGGGTCTCGCTCTTGCTCAGGCTGGTTTCGAACTCCTGACCTGAGCGATTCGCCCATCCCGGCATCCAGAGTGCTAGGATTACAGGCGTGAGCCACCGGGCCCAGCTTGTCTCACTTTTTAATATTAACCTTTTAAATTTTATTTTACATTCTTTTGGGTTAATTTTTCTTTATTTGATTTTCCCCCTCTGCTGGTTTGTGAATGTGGCAGAGATTACTAGTGCTTTCTAATAATTGTGTTATTTCTGTCCTTCCAGCCTTCTTGTTCTGGCCAACGGACTGTCAACAGAAGTCCTAACCCATAAAACCCATTTTCTTTTACCATCCAGAAACTCAGTAGTGAGGACCCCAGAATTTAGAGGAGGAAAGAGCCTCAAGATGGAAGAAGTCTGGATTACTTAATGACTGAATGAAGAAGAGCATCTCCAACCCCAATGCAGGCCATACTGTACTATACTCTGATACAAGGAGGAGATAAAATTTGACTGTGTGAAATCATTGAGGTTTTGTACTTTATCTATTAGAGAAGCTAGCATTATTTACCTTAACTATTACAGAAATTATATATTGTTCCTATCTTTTTTAGTACTTACCCTTGAAATTTAAACATACATCTTATCAAAGTCTAAAGATTAATACTGTATTTATCATCCTGGGATGAAAACTCTTATTTCTAGCTCATGTGTTATTCTTATCCAGCATTTTGGTTCTCATTTTTTCAAGCCTACGAATTAACCATTGTTAATTGTTGCTTTATAGAGTCAATGTGTGTTTACATGTACGCATGTTATCAACATTTTCTCGACTTAGCATTCCTTTTGTCCCAGGTCTCAGATCTTCCTTCTGAGATCATTTTCCTTCTCTTGAAATATATTCTTTACCAAATATCTGTGGGTGGAAAGCTATTTTGTTGTCTGAAAATACGTCTATTTTGCTTTGTTCTTGAAAAATAGTTTGGCTGAATTTATAATTCTAAGTTGACAGTCATGTTCTATCACCCCTTAAAACAGGGGTCCTCAAACTTTTTAAACAGGGGGCCAGTTCACTGTCCCTCAGACTGTTGGAGGGCTGGACTATAGTTTAAAAAAACTATGAACAAATTCCTATGCACACTACACATATCTTATTTTGAAGTAAAAAAACAAACGGGCAAAAACACCTGCATGTGGCCCACGGGCCGTAGTTTGAGGACATTCCTTTGTAGGTAATGTCTTTTCTGCCTGTATTTTTAGATCTTCTACTTTGTGTATGCTACAGTTTCCTTTATTTGTCACTCTTTGGATTTGTTGTGTTTCCTTAGCCCAAGGATTTGTGTCTTTCCTCAATTTTGGAAAACGTTCAGCATTTTTCTCTTTGCCTATTGCCTATCTCCTAGTCTTCCTATTACTCTCTCTCTGGAATTAAATATGTGTTGAACTTTCTTCCACTGTCTTCCATGGCTCTTAGTCTTTCATATTTTTAATCCTATAGCTTCTCTGTGCTACGTTCTATAGATTTCTTCAGATTTGTCTTCCAGTTTACAAATTATTTCTTCATACTTTTCTAATCAGTTGTTTAATTCATTATTGAGGCCTTTAATCTTTTTTTTTCAGAGTCTCACTATGTTGCTCAGGCTAGAGTGCCGTGGCTTCAGCCTAGCTCACAGCAACCTCAAACTCCTGGGCTCAAGAGATCCTTCCTCCTGCCTCAGCCACCCAGGTGGCTGGGACTACAGGCATGTGCCATCATGTCCAGCTAATTTTTCTATTTTTTAGTTGTTTGACTAATTTTCTTTCTATTTACAGTAGAGATGGGGTCTTGCTCTTGCTCACGCTGGTCTCAAACTCCTGAGCTCAAACAATCCTCCCGCCTCGGCCTTCCACAGTGCTGGGATTATAGGTGTGAGCCACCACGCCCGGCCGCAAGATCTTTAATATTAATGATCATAATTTTCATTTCTAAAAGTTCTTTTTGGTTGTTTTTCAAATACCCTAGTCATTTTTGAGAATCTGTTGCTCCTTACTCTTAATTTCAACTCCTTCTTTTTGTCTCTAAATATGTTAAGCATATTTATGTACCTGTATCGTTCTTAGATCTTTAGGTTATTCTGCTATGTGATTGTAATTCTCCCTTATGGTGCCTTGTTTCCTTGTGGTTTTGTGATCTCTTTTCATGATCTCATGCTCACTGAGGGTTTATCTGTGGGAATTCTATGAGGCCTGATATAGATTTTTTTTTTTTTTTTTTTGAGGACAGAGTCTCCTTTGTCTGGCCAGGCTAGAGTGAGTGCCATGCATCAGCCTGCTCACGACTCAACTCCTGGCTCAGCAATCGCTGCCACCTCGGTAGCTGGGCTACGCATGCGCCCTGCCGGTATGTTCTTTTGTGTCTATGTATAATTAGTGCAAGGAGGTGTCCTTTTATTTTAGTAGAGACCGGGTATCGCTCTTGTCGGTTGGTTCAAACTCCTGAATCAAACGATCCGCCAGCCTCGGCCTCCCAGAGAGCTAGATACAGCGTGCCACGCGCCGCGCTGGATATAGATTATTTACATTTACTTATGACTGGTGCCAGGGGAAGGGTATTATTCACCAGGCACCTTTTATATTAACCTCAAAGTGGATTTTGCCAACTATGAATATTGTGTGAATTTGAGCCCAAGTCCCATATGAGAGAAGGCTTAGGGTTATCAACTCTCAAAAGAGACAATATTACCCCCGGTCTCAGAAACAGGACCAAGATATATATTTATTTTCTTATTATGTCACTCTTCCACAGAGGTTATAGCCCTATAGCTTTTTGTGTATGAGGGTTTGTTTCCTTTTCTTACATAGACCTAAGGCCTTATCTTCACCCAACCTTTAAAACCAAAATTTCTAAGTTACAAGAGAGTGACAATTGCCCTAAAGGGGTTATTAGCTTCAATACTTGCTTACTTATCTGAATTCAAGCTTGGGCTTAATTTTTGTCCTCTTGAAGATTTCCCTTAATTTTTCTAACTTCATCTATGCATTTAAGAAGATTCTTGAAATACATTTCTTTAAGAGGAATTGGTAGGAATGGAAGGAATAAAGTTACTGGAAGATTCGAACTATCCAAAGAGAACTGTTTATTTCAGGCAATATGACAATAATATAAGGTAAACATAACACTTCCTTATTATGAGACACTCAAATAGAACATGAAATATATTTCAGGCCAGGCGGCAGTGGCTCACACCTGTAATCCTAACACTCTAGGAGGCTTGTGGCAGAGCGATTGCCAAGGTTCAGCGGAGTCAAACACCAGCCTGAGCCAAGAGCGAGACCCCCTCTCTCTATAGAGTAGCAAAGAAATTAATTGGCCAACTTAATATAGTCTATGGGAAAAGAAGCAGCTGAGCATGGGCATGGTGCATAGCCTAGTAGTCCCACTACTTGGGAGGCTGAGGCAGGAGGAATTTGCTAGAGCCCAAAGGAGTTTGAGGTTGCTGTGGAGTGACGGGCTGATGCCACGGCACTCACTCTAGGCCTGGCAAACAAAGCGAGACTGTCTCCAAAAAAA